CACGTCAAGTCTGACTTGACTTGACTAATGAGTTGAGAAACCTCTGACTTGCTCAGCTCTGGTTTCAAAGAAATATTCCTAAACAATAATTCCCAAAAAGCTTCTCCGAACACGATATTTTTTCAAGAATTTTCAGAAACTGAGAAAAATTTCCACGAACAGGCGTCCGCGCACGCTGGCAGTTTCTGCATCTCTGGTGCGTATGTTCTGTTGTACTTAAGAAATTTCGCTTTTGAAATATTTTTAGGTTGTTGTTGTTTTTTTTTCTTTCTCTGTTGATAAACAGAGTCGAACAATGCTCGTACAGAACAGTTCAATTTATAAAATTATCTTTGACCAACGATGAAATAATCAAACAATGAAAAGAAAAAAATCATTACTGGTACTGAGACTTAATGATCTTGTTCATTTATTTTATCATATTCAAATAAGAAGATTTGGAGTTTTTTTAAGACAATTTTCACATATAATATTGAAATAGTATATAAACCCGACTGAGAGATTGAAGTTCTCTTATCCTCCCATTAGACTATACCAGTGTGACCAAATCTTAAGTAGAAGATGTTCGAATTCTGCAATATCAGTTCATCATTAACTTTCTTTTTTTCTCGCCTAAGATTAGAAGAATCTATTATGGAGATCGATTCTCATTTATTTGTTCATATTCAGAACAAAAACAAATCATGCAATTAAAATAGTTGCTATATAATTATTGTGATGATGTTTCGCCCTACGTTAAAAGATTGTGATACATGAGTTGATACAGATAGCAGAACAGCGATCTCAAATTTTATGGTCCGACACAATTTATGAACGGGAATTCAACTCGAAGAAATTTTATAAATTGAAAAGTGATCATAAAATAAAATAATAATTGATCTAGAACTTTGATACTCGACTATGAAAGCCGACTGTTGCTTTGTTTAATTACATAAATTGAGACTAATTCTATTGAGAGCACATTCTTTTCGAGTTGACACAATTTTTAATAGTGACTCAAGTGTAAGTTAAACATGATAAGTCTAGTAATATTGTTTATAGAAAGAGATGTTCCAAGATATGATCGGATATGACGTTTCTATGTTGTTCATTCTATTCTTATAGTCGAGCATGGATTTGCTTACATAGAATAACACCAATGTAATCTGATTAATGGATCTTCTTGTTGATATCGAATAGAAATATAACTGAACATGGTAAATACGAAGATTCAGCTGTAACCATAGATGTATTGATTTGATGTTTGATTCATCTCTCTCTGTATCTCATAAAAGTTTTTATGCATGACAGCATCTCTCAGTAATTCTATCAGATTAAAAAAATTATAAAAAATACTCAATATTTGCAGGTTTCATATGTTGCTCTGCATTAAATGCAAAACCGATCTGTTTGTTCTTCATCCGAATGGATTAATTTCTTATGTCTTTAATATGAGTGTTGTATACTTGATCACCATCACTTCGAACAATTCTGTTAATTAGTTTTCACTTAACTATATTTTCTTCTCAACAGAAGTTTACGAATCTCTTTAACAACTGTATATATCTCAGAGTTACATTGAAGATCAATAGCACATCACTTAATCTTCATTACATATTTGATTATTAAGAATAAATATGACATATAATTTTACTTGGTTGCAATATTGTTGATTTGCAAAGAATACTTGAATTTTCATCATGAGAACGTTTAGCCACTTAGTTGTCAATATTTGAACTGTCCTTATTTTTTACATAATCAATAAGATCTTATGTGAAATACGAAAAAACTTTAATATCTATGTCAATAGACTTTTTTCAACAGCTATCAAATTAGCTGAAGCTCAAAAATAGTCAGCATGGGTGGTTCAATACTCAAAAGATAAAATTCATTTAGAAGTTTTAGTAATCCATCGAAAAAAAAAACAGATTCTTCAAATGCGAATATTGCCACTTGTCATACATGTGCAGTAATCAAAAATGCAACAGATGAAAAGAGACACAGTTTAATAACATCCTCAAGACCTTTACGTCAAGTACTTGATGCTCATCAATTTCATCTTTCCATGACCGTTGAATCTACAGATAAAAACCATAAAGATTGACGAAACATCTATTCTAAGCTAATAGTTCTTTATGTAACGACTATTTTTCGAAAGTGACATAATCATTTCTCTTTTGATAATTTCGATCAGAATTTATTGTTCTCGACAATTGTTCATTATCAAGATTTTTTTATATGAAAAAGTCAAGTGATTCATGAATAACATTGGTGAAATGTTCATATCCATTGAGCAATCAAAGTTCTTTGTTTTTCGAATAAGTTAATGATCTGCTCTTGATCAATGTGGTTCGTATTGTTCGTTTGACCAACTTTCTATTTTTCATCGATTTCAATCAAACTCGCTTTGTGAAGCACGTTTCTTTGAAAAGTAAGCTGATCCAATGCTTATCATTTATTCTTCATCAGTTTGATCAATGTTGTTGTTTTTTTAAGATTGTCACATCAAAATTGAATTCCTTTTGTGTTCTACTTATTTCACATAGTCGAGTCCAATGCTATCTTGTCTTTGATTTGAAATGTTCTGATCTGATAGGTCATCATTGACTAATCATTGACATTGGATAAATGAACGAAAACAATCATTATTGAATTTGGATGAACTATTAAGAATAGTTGATGATTTTCTTAGAAGTTAAACGATCTTTTCAAAAGATTTAATATGTAATACATCAATGATCTGATATTGAAATAATTTTCATAATTTCAGACATGATGAAATTAGATAGTGATCGATAAATTCACTTGATCGAACGATTTTATAAATGAAAAAGAAACTGTTTATGATGTTTTGATTACGAAAATGATCGATTGATGTTTAAAAAATATATTCATTGTTAATGACAAGTCTATTGAAGTATCATATTAAACATGATTTCATGAACGAGACAATCATATAATTAAATGTCAAATGTTTCTTCTATGTTTTGTTTTTGTGAACCTATAAGAGATTTGTAAAAGTGATTATTAATCAATATTGAACTAACAAAATCCACTGCAAATCTTTGTTCGTGTCTTGATTCAAATAGAAATATTCTCACAATGAATATTTCAATATAAATATTTGTTTATTCAAATGTAATGGTCCACTTAAATTATTTAAAATCTAATAATCTATAAACTTGTTGCATGCTTTCAATATGATTAATCAACAATTGAATTTATTTTATTTGACAAACTGAATTAATTCTGTATCACAAATCAGATCTTAGTAATTTTCTCCTCTCAATATTTCAATTATCTCATATTGATATTCAGATGATTGATCACTTCAAATTCGTCTACTGACTATATAATTTTATTTAGATTGATAAAGATCTCGACATTGAGTGACCGAACTTTTCATAGCAAGACAAATTGTTACGGAAAAATGTTGCAATATATTACAGAACAATACATTTGTGCATCACGAAGTAATATTGTAGAAAGTGATGATAAAAAGTAAAGCAAAATAATCAGAAAAAATTAGTCTCTAAAAATTTGGCTTCTGAACTCAAAAAGGATTGACGTATTTACTAAAATCCGAAAAATTTTCCATTATTATGCAAGAAGAATCTTTTGTTTCAAAGTTTTTTAGATTCTCTCAACGAAATAAAAGTTTTGTGTCAAAATGCAAACGTTTCGTATATTCTTGGAAACTGCTCTATTGCTTACGTAATTTAACAGTGTCTTTACCACGATTCCTTTGAACGTACATGCAGAAAGTTCTTTGTGGATTTAGTAAATGTGCCAATCTTTTTTGAATCTAGTATTCAAACTATTTTTTTAGTGATTAGTTATAATATTTTCTGATTATTTCACTTTTCATCATCACTTTTTACAAAATTAGTTCGAGATGTGCAAATGTATTATGCTATAAAACATTGTATTACTATTTGTCTATTCGACAATTTGTCCGTGCGACACTTTTTGTAACAAAAAAGGCTAGCACGTCGATATTCTTCACTGTTTTACTATTTTTTAGCGATATTTTGTTCAAATTGATTAGCCATATACAAAAAATTTGTATTATTATCCATGTCTTGTCAATATAGTTCTATTGAGCAAAACAATGCAAAAATCTATCTCGATAAAATACAATTGGGTGTGGGTGTAAGCATGTGGCAAAAATAAATGACACCCACACCCTTCATCAAATTCAATCAAACATAACAATTCTCATTTAGAATGTGAAAAAATTAATCGAACAATCTTCTTCTTGACTATTTTTATTGAATCTGACTATTGTTGATCACCATGTTCAAAAGAATACTTATTGATAGAACAAGAGTAAGGTAAGATATTTTTATTATTTAGATATTTGACATTGATCTTAATAGTTCAACAGGATATTCAACAAGTTGTTATACTATGAGGGGAGAACAGATCACCGTGACGACATATTCATTATAATGAATGAAGTATTCATTCATCTTTCAATCTCGTTGATCAATTCAGCCGTGAGTCATCCTCTCAATCTCTATGAATTCCTCTCCAGCTGTCTGATTAAAAACTCGTAAAGATCTGGCTAACAAGAAAATAAAACAAATCGTCCATTCAGTTACAATGTAATAGACATGCGACTTAGTGATAAAGTAGCCTTTTCTGAATATTTTGACGAATATTCATCACGATAATTCTATATTATTGTCTTTCAGATCCATAACAACAATTATGAACATAAGATCCCTCCTGTTCTTCATAACTGTTAATTTTTGCAAATGGTACATTTCTCTTGCGTAGGTGAATTTAATAATTGAACACGATATACTTCGTTGTTGCCAATTTAAAGAAGATCAAAACAAGCTTCAAATCTTTGAACTACACTTTCAAATCATTGTTTACTGCATATCTAAAATGATTTGATTCATCATGATCTGCTAGTCGATACAAGATAGTTCTATTTGAATGGATTTTATTATTCAATCACTGGTTAAAGACTATAATGAGGACGTTAAAGTAATGTCAATTTTCAAAAATCATTAGCTTCGATCAACGTGGAATTTTTGTACTCGATGATTTTTTTGATCACTCACGTAAAGATTACCATCTCGATCAAATGACAAACCGATGGGACAAGAGAGTTGATTCGATTGACTTCCTGAACCATTTCCACCAATGATGATACTTCCTTGTGTGGCTCCTTGAGACCAACGCATTATTCTACTATTCCCATTGTCAGCCACATAGATAGTGGCTGATTGATCAACGACTATTCCACAAGGATTCGATAATTGTGTAAGACTATTTCCTTCACCTTGACCGCCAGCCACAACAATGCCTTGTTTCGCACCTTTCATCCACTTCATCACACGATGATTGTTATAATCTGATACGTACACTGAATGATCTCGATCGACGGCTACGTATCTTGGATTAGACAACTGATTCAGACCATTTCCTTGTCCCTTTCCACCTGCAACGACTGTTCCTTGATTGTCTCCAATCCGATATCGTCTAACTTCATCTTTCTCATAATCAGCAATATAGAGAAAGCCATCATCGTCCATAGTCAAGCCCAAACATCCAATATTTGAGATAATTGTTTCTCCATTTGTACCATTTTGACGAAGCCATCGAACTACTCTTTTGTTACGATAATCACAAATGATAAGACTGTCTCCTTGTTTATCGATGATCATACTCGTCGGACCGCATAACTGATCAGAATGGTTTCCTTCTCCATTTCCACCAGCTACAACTCGACCAGTCGTCGCACCACATTTCCATTCAACAATACGGTGATTTTTGAACTCAGCAATGTAGATAGTTTGTTCACCATCAACGTACAAATCCCATGGATTGTGGAGTTGATTGAGTTCGCTACCTGCTCCATTTCCTCCAGCTACAGTAACACCATCATGTATCCATTTTGCATTGGCATTCAGATTTGCACTGCGCAATAATGGTACTGAAACAAAACACACTTTCATTCATTTACATTAAATTAATGTACGTGGATGGAAACCGATATTCGAAGTACAGAACTTTGATTGAGAGAGAGAGAGACACAAAGAATAGTTGTACTCAATTTTCATATTAAACAATGGCTTATAATAGCGATCTCGTTGTTTTTATATTTCGAATAATGGATCATCTGAGTGTTTCTATACACTGATGATTAATATTCGAATCTTCGAATTAAACATCAGAGTTTCTCTTCAGCTCATCATCATCGAAAGACTTCTTATCTTTTAAAGAAGTTTAATAACAAAATGTCGCTATTGATCATCACAAGTAGTAAAGAAAGCTTGACAGTGTTCTGTTTTTTTTTTCGAATAGATAATTGTTAAAAACAGTTGTAGATGATTGAAATGACTATTAATTTTCGTTGGACAAATGATCATCAAAACTCTTTTGTAAATGAAATCTCAACTGAGAACTATTGATATGAGCTCAATAAAATTTTTAAAATTTTCGTTTTGAAGAACAAACGATTGACACTTCAATACAAAACATTTGATAAAACTTCATGCAGTTTGATTTTCATAAAATCAATCAGATCAGCATTCGGAATGTGAGAAAAGAACTGTGAAGAACTATGTCAACTGTTTCTGATCATTCTGAGTCTCACAGATACGACAAAAGGTTTGAAATAATTGAGACGCATATTTATTTTTAAAAACAGTCAAGATCCATGACTTGTTTGAACAGAGAAAAGCTCACGACCAAGTCTTAACACAATTTCTTTTTGGTTTTCGTCGCGCTCTCGTCTAGAGAGAAGAGAATCAAATTTTCTTTGTTCCACAATGATCTTTTAAAGAAAGCATCTTCATTATTTTTTCATTGTTTTGTTCAACTTACTGCAAGTTTTCAATGAAAGAAAATGTGACCTTTTCTATTCGACTATCGAAATTCTTGGCTCAACAATACTCAACCAATTCCGATCAGTTCATGTTTTGCGATAGAAAAATCGTTTGATTTCGATGAATTTCAAATTTTGATTTATATCATTGCGAAGATTAACCTAGAAGGACTTGGAAACCTCACATTATCCTCTTGTTTTCATTGGAATCTCTCATACGAAAGTTTTTTTTTTCTATCTATACTAAACAAATGACGAAATAATCCTTAACGTTTTCGAACCGTGTTTCAATTAGAAATTCAAAAGAGTCATGCGTATCTTGGACAGGCCCAAGAGGCGCTTGAAATTCAACCTTGTATCACTTATGCTTCATTCGAAGCTCGATAAATTTTGTCCATCTTCGATCTCAAAATGCAACCTGTTGATGCTCCTTAGTTAAAGATTTAACTTTCATGTACTTTAGACTACTAACTATGTCAACATATAATATGCTCGAGTGTTTTTTGAATAACTTTTGATAGAAATATCATGGAAATCTGAGGTTTTCAACATTCAAGAGATGAGTGTTCATTTGGCTAATATCCTCATACATTCACACCTTGTCTCTCTTGATCCGTTTCTGCTATTGTATAGCTTTAATTCAAAATAAACCCCTCCCCAGAATACAAGGCCACCCTATATTAGAAGGCCACCCTCATTAGAAGGCCACCCCAGGAAAAAAACTCACAAGGCATAATAGAAGGCCATGGGGTTTCCAGAAACTTTTTTTAGAAATCCAGTGGATTTTTATATTTTAGTACTTAAAATATCGGTTTTTTAGTAAAAAACCAAGGTTTTGTAACTAAAATTACTTTTTTTTCTAATACGAAAACTGGTTTTACGGAACTTGACTGCTAAAAGTGCCTTTTTGAACGGTAGAAAATTTTTCCAACAACCCCTGGTTTTTTAGGTAAATCTTAGTAAAAAATAGTCCACAATTGAAGGCCACCTTTGCAGAAGCGATGTGAATTTCCATAATAGAAGGCCATGGCCTTTTATTCTAGGGGGGAGTTTACTCACACTTTTGCTGTTCTTCATGAACATAGATGAATCGATTCCAATCAATTTGATTATTATTGTCAATAATGATTGATTCTTTTATATGTTTTTGACAAAAATGTTCAAATTTTTGTTTGACCTCATTGATCCTTTGTTTAAGGTGATCAATATCATTTTCAAGAAAATTTTCTTCGTCTTGATAACGACGAATTTCTTTTTTAATTGGTTCAAGTTGTTGTATTGTTGTTATTCTTTGTTTTTCGATTAATTCAATAAGTTTATGACGTGCTTTTTCTGCTGCTTCTTCTACTTTTTTGATTGTTGTTTTCTTCCATTATTCAATTTGATCGAAAAGATCCAGTGATGAATAATTTGTTTTTTGTAATTTTTCTAATCGATCAAGAAGTTCATCGTGTGATCGGACGATTTCATTATCGAATTTCATCGATAAATGTTGTCCATGTTCTTTGAAATCTTTCAAACAAAAATATTTTTTACATCCAATACAAACACAAATCGCTGAAGATTTATGACAGATTGAACATAAATTTGATTCATTTACTGTTATCATTTATCTTTGAAGAAAATTACTCAAAATATGTAAATTATTATGAGAATATCTTGATCTAAAATGAATTCATATGAGTATTGATAAAGAAAACTTAATTTTAAGTGATTGACTCAATTTTCTTCGTTTATGACTCCGATTAAATCTTGTTCAACTATCTTTAATATGATTATATTAATCTTCAATGAATTCTTATGTTTAACCTAATAATTATGAAAATATTAATTAAATTCAATAGTCTTGAATAGCTCATCAATTTTTTCTGAGAATGAATAAAGTCTTTTGAAATGAATCAACTTATGTCGATAAAAGTCACAAGACAGTAAAAATATTTTTAAGCGGAGTATATGAATCTCTTCATAAAGGATATCGATGTCTTCAATAAATAGAAAATCATTATTATTCCATGAAAAATGCATGTTAACCAAGTTTCAAAAAAAATCACTAACATGATAACTTGTATCAGAGAAAAATAGAAAATTATTGAAAGTGTGTAATGATTGTACAAATAGCATTTGCATTTTGTTTATTTTGATAACAAAATATTCTTGAAAACTTTCTCATGCATTTTTATAAAGGATCACTTAAGGGTATCCCACCCCATCCTCAATTTTTGATCATTTCTTGGATTTGCAGAAGGCACAATCGATCTGCATGAAATTTTTACGACAGATATAGCACCAGAGTGTGCGTGGGTGTGAGGTGTAGAAAAAGATGTCAATCCACACACTCGTATCCACTCCTCACTCACACACCCACACCCAGGGAGCATTTTTAAGAAACGAATGGTTTTTCAACGATTTTTTTAATCAATTTTATCTCAAAACTGGTTCAACATAATGGTTGCAAAATATTTCCAGGTCGAACTTAGATATGAGCAGGCACAAAAGTGTGAAAAAACAAAAATAAACTGCAGAAATTATTTTAAAAAATCAACCTTGGGACTTCATCTTTTAATCTGTATTTTTCTTCTTTTATTATATGGAAATTGTTTAATTATTAGCGGAGAGAGAGTCCTCTATTATAGTGAGGACTCCTAATTTGTCGAGGACTTTATATCATTCATTCCGTTTAAGATAAATTCTAACTCTCACTGAAATGATGTTTTTTTTTTGGATCGAACTAGAATTTTGAATATACAGAAGCAACGTGAGACAGACACGCAATTATACCCACACTCAAATGGTTTAATGAGTTCACACTGTAGACCAAAACCTAAACTCAACTGTCTAAAGGTTTGGATTTGGTAAATTTCTAATTAGTATCGAAGACACTGAAAGATATTGGTATTGAAGTACTGGACTCATCTAATGTTCTTTATAGTTCTTTTTCCATTAATTCTAATACGATAAATGTATATTATAAGCACTAGAATGATATAGCATTTTAAATTACCTTGCTAACAGTGTTGCAACAATTTTGATATGAATATGTACGGTTATGTGTATCTATGTCTATGATGTGCGAATGATATTAAAACATATCAGAGCTTCATGTGGGATGAAAAAGTTCTATCCTATCCGTCTATTAGACAAACAGCCACTTATATAAACATTTTTTACAAGGAAAGATGTAGCTGTTTTTGTCGTATAGATTGCATTCTTGTCTACTTCAATGGAGTTAGCGAAGATAAGATTTCTTTCTATTCTGTAAATGGTTATGCATTGTAGCGATGTGTGGGATGTAGATGTGAGAGAAGAGAATATATATCGAAGATAATATGATATAATTTTATCGTCACATATTATAACCAGCAGCTTTTATTGAAATTTTATTATTATGATATTAGTTAAAGAATGATCAAATGTTGCAGAAAAATAGAGAATTGCTTTTGCTGTTATTACATATAAAGAGAAAGTTTTTACAAACTTTCTATACGAAAAGAATGTATCTTCGTCACTACCTTTGGATTTCTTTCAGTAGTATAATGCTTTATTTAATTAGTCAGACCAATAAATGTATCATTAAATTTTACTTATTCAATAACTATTTGACGAATATGACATTTCATGAGACAGAACGAGGCAAGAGATTTTTTGAAGTATTGCATTCCATGGGACCACGTTTTCTGTCTCATTTCACCCCACGAGAAGTCACAGTGCACGAAATTCTTTCAGTACAAAATATGGAAACGAGAGAATAAAAATGGCAATATCGAAACAACGACTAATTCAACATTGCACGACAAAAAGCAAATAAGTATGTATGTACATGACATGATAAAGAGAGAAAAGAAATGTGTTCCATTAGAATACTCTTCGGGAGACGAAGAAGAAGAAAACGTAAAAAGAGAAACAATTCGTACATCATCGTGCTTGTAAGAAAATATTGCACAGCTAAATGTCTATATTTTCTGAGATGTGGTCAAAGATAAGAAAAGAAAAGAAAATCAACAAAAAATAATGAAACTACACAAGATACAGCAAAAATAACTGATGAAAAATACAGAGTGGTCCAAAAGTCTTTTTACGAAGGAAAAAAATCTGAATATCTCTGCTATACTATCATCAGATAGGTTGATTTTTTTACCCCTAATAAAAGACTGTTGATGGGTCATATTCATAAGAAAAACATCGATCAAGACTACTTTGAGTTACTGTCGTTGACTTCAGTAAACAACTGTAACCTTTCACAAATTATGGAAAATTATATTACAGTTTACACAACAAATTGCTAGTGTTTATAGCTGAAAATTTCAGAATATAATAAGTAACAAGATGTGTACGTATGGTATAAACTTCACATCAAAGGACACTTCTATCAAGAATTGATAAAAAAAATGTGCATAGCTTACTTTTGGCTAAAGAAATCATTATATTGCTTTTTCATAAGCCGTGAAAGATTACAATTCCTTATTGAGGTTAACGATGATACTTCAAAGCATTGTTTGTCAATGTTTTTCTTATGAATATAATCTGTCAACATTATCTTGCCAGTCGTAAAAGAATCAGCTCACTCGGTCAAAGTCTGAAAGAGATACTCAACTTCTTCAGTTACGTGACTTTTGAACCACTCTGTATTTTTGTCAATAAATATAGAATGAAGGCGGATATGACAGGGTGTATGGATTTTAAAAACAGACCGTATGATTGACGATAGGGTGGATGTGAGTGTTGGTGTTCTCTTCAATTCACACCCACACCCTAGTGTGGCTTTTTCATATGTTCCCATTGCACGTGTCATTCTATTTTCGTGGTTGAAAACATCAATTATCTGTAGTCAATCATATTTGCTTTTTTTCGTTTATCAATCGAATTGATTGTGTATAAATGCAATATACTTTTTTTCTCAAATATCTGTTCTCCTTTTCACTAGGAGCTGCGCTTATTTGCCAACTTAATGGCATTGTTTATCTCACTCTGTTTCACACATATGGCGATAGGGCTGCTGACATTTGTTTTTCTGCTGTTCTATAATGGGTATACGCCAATATTACGTATATATTCTTTTCTTCTTCCATTTGTTCTGTTATTCTTTTTTTCACTGAAAGGTTTTGACTGATATTCATGTGGTATGAGACGCTTTGAAAAAAAAGTAAAAGAAACATAACCTATATTATGTCTGATGCCGAAATACTGTAAAAACTCTTCTGTACAGTGATAAAAGTAATCTTTTGTTTTTCGTCATCCATTATCCTGTTGTGCTGATTCTGGTATAGTACATGTGTTTTAAGATTTTGAAGTATAGTTTAAATCTTAATGAGTGTCATTTTCGTCTCTAATAATAAAATCTAATAAGGACACCCACCTACGACAATATATTGCCCTTTGTTGTTGATTCATTAGATTTAGAATATATCATGGTGCAATGTATATTCTATGGTCGTCTACTTCGGTTTATCATCACAATCTCTTCTTCTACGTCAACAAACTTTCCCAAAAGTTATGATTGTTGAACGAATGCATCAAACACCAGTAGTTTTCAAGCTTAATATAAAAACTGTTTTCTTTATTCAGAAGTCGAGACTAAGCTTTTATTCTTAGCGGACAAGTTCATCAATGTCATGACTATCAGTTCTGCAACAGCTTTAGTAATATCATGCTCTGTCTTGTGTTTTCACCCACATTGTTGTTCTTGTTTTATGAAGTCACCTTTGGCAACCTTTGATTCTTTCTTTTTCATTTTTTGCTTCTCTGTATTTTCGATTTATCCCTCTCAAAGAAGAGAAACATCATCGATATGTCAAAATATTCGAGAAAGAGGGAATGTTTTTGAAAAAATAGTGTATTGTTTTGGGGGTATGTATTTTAACGATCATCAGTGTCGGAAAGGCGTTTTGTATAACTACAATAAGAAATTACGTACTTTTTTATATATACTCGAATTGCAATCAGTTATGTCTTTCATAATTGCCTTTCAATCATTTGTCGAGATATATTGAAACGATCGAATGGTTGTTGGATTTCTTCAAAGTAGATTTTTCCAGTTACCTTGTTATGATAATCTATTCTGTTGGTTCTTTTTACCAATAATATATCAGAAAAAGTAATAATAAATCTGCGAAGATAAATTTTAATTATGTGAAGTTCGTGATATTGATAGAAATTCGAGCAGATAATTTAAACAAAATGGTGCTTATGCTTTTCAGAGCGAGAAAAGCCTAATTTTTTTTTTCTATTTTAGTTGTTGAGCAAACATTTCGAGAATAGTTTATTTGTAGTGAAGATACATGATTGTTTAACGATTCAATAATTACTGTAACACATTTAAGGACACCCTCGTGGTTCATAAGACAAAATAAAACTTTTTCAGTGAAGAGATTGCTCCATTCATCCCGCTATATTCTAAGCGAGCATCTGAATCGTTAGAATATTTTTCATCTACGTTTAATCATTCAATATTGGAGGTCATAAGTGGTGAATTTTCCTTCTTAAATTCATGGCATAGTACATCATCAAAGAGAATTATTCAGTGAGTCTGTACAATGAAAAGTATGAATGATGCCTGTAGCCAACAACCGACTAAAAAGGATTCAATCGACTTTTTCTGATATTTTTTTAATGTTAACCTTTTTCCACAGTCTGTTGCCTATTGGCAGCATAAAGCCATTAAATATAGAGGTCCTTTTTTCTCCTAAAAATACACTTTTGCTATTCCTATGAAACAGTAACACAAAATGGTATATTGAAAAGTATTTTTTTACTAAGTGATTTCTGCTAGCCCGTCGATAATATTCAAGAATGAAAATTTACAAAGTAGTTTTCTCTTACAAACAAAGACAAAAGTTGGATTCAGCTTGATAACTAGTGAAGTTATAAGCCAGTAGATACATGACGCACATAACTCCAAATCCCCACGAATCACTGAATCATTATGAAGATTTTGTTTTTTTCTAGAATAAAAATAAATCCTATTCGGATGAATAGTAAACAGGGCTCGTCAATAAATCATGTGGAAATTATTAATCAACCTCGTCATGCTACAAAATCCACGTACGAAGAGCCATATGTGCAATGGATGTGGGGATCACATGTGAATCCTTACGATTTATCTCAAACCGTGATGTGGAGTCCGTACTCGGATGTGGAAACAGAAATAATTGAAGCAGCATTTCAAAAGAAGGAATCTCTCGTCTTGCTCGACGATTGTCGTATTGAATTAAGTCAGTTTTTGCAAATATCGAACACAGAATATAATCTTCAACTACCAGTTCAACGGTGTCTGGAAAAACCAACGTGCAAGCCCAGAATAAGAAAGAACAGATTACAGCCTCTTGATTCAATTGTACCAAAAGTACCTTTTGTCGATAAAAACTCTTCTGAAGAATTCGTCACTACAGTTACGCATCAATTCGATCTTACCAACAAAAGGTTTTCTGTTCCATCGATCATTAGAATGATGGTAGAAAAAGCAGCTGAAGGTCTAATCATTGAAGGCACGACGGTGGGAAAACCAAGAGAAGCTGAATGGCTGGCTGAACAGTTACGCCAAGAAATGAATTCATCTCAACAAAAAGTATGGGCATGTTGTGCTCGACTCTATAGCAAGGATTCATTTCTATATAGACAAATGAATGAGATCATGCGACTGGTCGATGATGGTGATCAAGAACATGAAAAATTATGGAAAAGCAAGATCATTTCACTTGGTCCATTTGCTTGGCTTCTCTATTGGATGCGGGAAAAAGATGATATATGTTCCACACTCGTAGTCTATCGAGGAGCGACACTTCCGGATGATGTAATTGCAAAATTTAAACAAGCAAATCAAAACAATCTATATTGCTTTCAAGCTTTCACATCGACTACTCGAAGTCGGCAGATCGCTGACATTTTTGGGGGCAACGTTCTTTTCATAATTAACATTTCTGCTGAAGATGGCATAGATATACAGCATTATTCAAATTTTCAAGACGAAGAAGAAATATTACTTGCGGCTTCGTTTGACTTCAAAATAAAATCCTGCGAAAAAGTTGGCGATAAATGGGAAATTCATCTTATATCGTTTTGGTCTACTGACTACTGGACCTCATCATCTTCGAGCTTTTCTGATTTGTTAGAAGACTCATCTCTTGAGAGTGATAATGGTAAAATCGATGTTGTTCAAGGATGACTTATGAATTATAAGATGTGATTGTATGTGAATATGCTTTAAAGATAAGGCAAATCAGCAATACACTCTAAGATACAATCGCTAAACAAGAGAGTAAACTGATGAATACATCAGTACAATTTTTAATTTAGTACTTCATTGTTGATATTCTTTTACTTCTCATGAAAAAAATGGATGGGTGGGTGTGGATGTGATGCAGGAGAGAATTAGACCATCCCAACATCCAACCACGCCTTCATACTCAAACCCAGACCCACACATCCACGTTCTGAATGGAAATTCCTTGAGTCGTATCCAATTTATACTACAAATTGTAATGCATGCGTCGATTTATTAGTGCTGAAGTTACATCTTAAAAAAATCGAACAGCCTACCGTTTAAACATTTATGAAGACTTGAACATAGATTTAGAAAGTGTTACAGGATTGTTCTCTTATTTTATCGAGAAAAGATCATGACGTAGGATGTTATACGTCTGTTTGTATATGCCTTGTTTTTTATTCATTATGTAACATACTTTTGACTTAGGCTGTTTTCAAAATTTTTGAGTTAAGCGCCTAATAGTTAATAATCGCAAATAATTTATTTAATTAACTAGGTAAATCAGATGGAAATAATGGTTTCGAACATAGATTTAAATATATCTCATACGAATACCATAAAAGTTAACTATTCATTTCAGTCACTTTGATGTCGATTTACATAAGTTTCGGCATATCTATCGTTGAATCTCTAAATGAGTCTATTATATTGAAAATGAAAATATTTTGGCGTCTCCAAATTTTTGACATAAATGTTTCAAAAAAAAACTCGACATCAAATGATTACTATGTTCGTTTAATAATGTCTCGAATGACGGTATAAATTGATGAATAAGTATATATTGTTAGATGATTTAGATATTGACTAAATAAAACTCAAATGCATCAGATCAAAAGTTTCGGTCAAAGGTTCTGCAAGTTTTAATTTATTAGCTGGTTTGAATACAAGGCATGAATATACATACTAATTATTTGTTGTTTTTTGTATAAATGCTGAATACGAAACATCTGGCTCAGTTCTTGTCCATATGTTATTTATGCCTAAATAGCTAGATGTTAATCAGTAATGATAGGCTTTTAATATAATTTCATTAGGATAATAAATTGTAAAAGCACATAGAGTCTGAGAGAAGAGAAGGTCAGACACGAAATAAAAGCGAGCAACGATAAGTGGCATGTGACAAAGAACTATAATAGTTCTAATATTTCTTAACATTTCGTGATGCCACAAAAACATATTTTTATAAAGTTTTCTAGCCTAATCTAACAAAATGAATCTATTATTATTCTTCTTTGTGTATCTAAACTTTTAGAAGTTGTAACTTTTGTTATATTTGCAAATTTCACAATTTCCATTTTTATCTCCTTACGTAATTACTTGTAGATACTCTAGATACAAGATCAATTCATAATTTTCTGGATCATCGTTTCTTGCTGTTCTTTCTTTAATTTGAGTTTCTTCTTCGATATTCACAGAGAAAAATGTTTGAATTACATGAATGGCACTTTTCCCATTTACTATTGTTTCTGCTTGAAAATCAACACATTTTCCAAATTCCTTTATTAATGACGTGACTTAACCATAATGTTCAGCATGGAGTGGAGTGTGGGTAGATAGAAGACCACATTTACACCACATCCACGCCCCTTATTGTGAGGCTTTTTGCTTGTATTCATCATGAACGTAACATATTATACGTTCCGAAATTAAAAATAATTTGATCTTCTTCCGTTACCTTTTGCTTTTCGATATTATTTGAGACATAAATATGTTTTGATGTTATTTCGTGTACAATATTCACTGTGCGCAAATCACTCAGGTAAATAGTTTCGTGCACATCTGGCGTACATACATATTGCGATACAATGCGTGATCAAAAAGAAAATTAAAAAAAAAGGAGAAATAAACCAAATCAATATAGAGTAAGAAACGTATAAAGTTGTCCTCCTGCAAAGGTTAAAACGAATCATTCGTTAAAGCAAGCAAATAGTGACACATACACAACATCACACTTAATCTACAGCGTCTCGCCACAAAATTTTCTCCATATATTGGATTTTATTCATTTCATCGTGGTGAGTAACTTATTAGAATAATACAAAAAAAAAACAGAAACAAGCTCATTAAATAATACAAATAGGATCAAAAGGATCTACACGTACGATAAGTATGAGACAGATATGAAATAGATCTGAATAATCGTTTTTTTTTCTTTCAGACGATTGATTGATACATAATTACTAAGTAGTAGTTTCTTTGATTCACTTTACTGTCTCAATCTTACTTTTATTTATTATTTTAATTAGTTTCAATTCAATGATAATTTCTTTATATAACATTATTAGTTTTGTTTTGCGAATGCTGTACATCATGTTTAGTTATTTCAAAAAAAAACGAGCATTAAACTATCATCATGATGTAACTAAGTTCTAATGACGATAGGTATGAAAATGTTATCGACACGTTAGTAAAATCTTCGTATCAGTGAGGAGGATGTTGAAACTCTTCGCTTCTTCCAGTACTGTCTCAAAATCATCGTAAAAATCGTCAGACTACACAGCATTAAAAAAGAGTGGTGCCGAAAATCTTTTGACTATAGGACAAGTTATTAACATGAAGCTGTAATGTTTTGTGTCACATATCGAAGCCTAAAGAAGAAGTCAGCTAGCTTTCATATTAGTGAGTTGAATCGATTCAATGATTATGATTTCATGAGGTACATGAATCATTAAATAATTCAAAATTTTTATATTTTTTTCATAGAAAATGTTTATCTGTGAGAACTGTTAAGGTATATCTTGTTTTATTAAATATGCTACTTAGCTCTGCTAAGATTTAGTCAAGCCTATAAATATCTACAGAAGTCTAATCAATTTTATATCCTTTATACATATGTTTCCACTTTCACCTCACTGAGGCGATACGTTCTGTGGATGTGCGTGTTGTTACCTTTTGGCAACTGGGTGATTTTTTCGAGAATGTACCGGACTTTACACCAACTTTATCGGAATGGAATGAAACTTTTTCCACTAGTAGAACTTAATATCTTGATCTGCAATGTCAACTTCAAACAGTTTTAAAATGATGGCATAATGGTTTCTGATCAAGAATTCTAGAGGTATTCCCAGCCAAAACCTGATTTCTAGAATATCTGCATTTTACATCATAGAAAGCTGGAGCTTTAAGAGTAGATGCAATTTAATGGGAACATCATTTCATTAAGCGAGAACTTTTTTCTCCAACGCTTTCTTTACATCGAAAAGTTTCTCATAAAGAAAGCAATTTTTTCGAGTTTTTTAAAAAACTAAATTTCTCTGGAAAAGGACAAGATTCAATTAAGAATTTTATAAACACTAAAATCGTGTATAAGTGTTCTATTTAGTTATAATGTTTGAAAAGATTTAATGTGAAAATTGACCACGAACACAGAAGACTTTGGGAAAGGATTTTCACTTTCTTGTAAACTTTTGAACTGTTTACGGAGAAAATTAAGAACTCTCTCCATGAAAAAACCTTATATTGGAGAGTTCTTTGACAAAAGCTACCATAAAAACGTATTTTTTCTTCAAAGACCAATGAGTCTGAAAATTCAGAAAAATCCCTGCAGAAACGCCATTGAAAATTCTTCGATATGAAAAGTGCCATGCCAATGTTGCATTATTTTTTTTTGTTAGTTCAATTTCATAAGACTATGAATATATTGTTCTCTTCGCTAGAATTCTTAATTTTCTCAGCAGACATTTCCTTCACCCAAGTCCTCCATCTTAGCGGTCAAGTTTCCTTTAATACCCTACTAAATCTTCTAGCTGGATAGCACGCTCAAAGAAGCTTTTTGGTGAGTATAACATTCTTAATTAAATCTTATTCCTTGTCAGATATATTTAACTTCCAAAGACTCAAAAAAGTTGATTTTTGTTAGAACCTTTTCGATGCAAAGAAAAAGATGGAGAAAAAAAACGCTCCGACTTAATGAAATGATGTTCTCAGTAAATATTATCTACTTTACAATTTTTAGCTTTCTACCATTGAAACTGGAGGAATTATAGAAATCAAGTTGTACCCAGGAATATCCCTGCAGTTGATGATCGGAAACTATAACGGCATCGTTTTAAAACTTTATGAAGTTGATTTCTCAGATCAGGATATCAAATTCTTCTAGTTCAAAAGGTTTCTTTTCATTTGCATGAAGTCGATGTAATTGTGGTACGCTTCTGCACTCACATCCACAAGAATCACCTATGTATCTGTTGAAAGCTATCAGTCTAATGCAGATGGAAAAAAATTGAGACCCGGCCATCTTCTAACATTCTAGAATTCTCACAAAATTCTACATTTAGCCTTGTCTGTGTACATATAACATAAATATAATCAATACCTTCTTAACAATATTTTCATATAAGGAGATGCGCACCGAGTTGAATTCTAGAATTTTAGAATAAATATACGTATATGAATTGATTTCATATAAGTATAGGTGGAATTTTAGAATTTTCAGAATTCCAGAACTTTAGAATAAATATGGCCGTGATCAGCCGGTAGGGTACCCCAAAATATATTTGTTTCGTATAACTTTAGTTACTTATAAGAAAAATGTGATTTTTTTACTAGTTGTAGTCCTTATATATTGCTAATGATCTGTTACAATTAGAGACCTCTATGGCACTAAGAACGAGCACTGTTAAGTATGTCTTTATAATCATTGGATTAAAAGTTACTTCACATCGAATTTGTTCATTTAAACCAGTTCTTCTGAAAGAATTCAACTAATATAAATGGCGACAGTATTTTATTATCAAGATAGTTAAGCACAAAATACAACTTATCGTGTTGCTTATCTACGAATAGGATGTTTATTCAAGTTCATATTGCATAGAGCAGAACCAACTCGTACAATTTTAGTTATCTTCTCAAAACCATCAATAGTTCCTCTGTAAACACTACCCAATATAGCATAGGTT